GCGCTCTGTTGCAGGCAGCGTTCCAATTTGGGACAGTTCGACTCCTTACCAGTTCGATTCTGTCCGCGTTCTGTTCTGGTACGTGTGCGAAAAAAGGACTGTTCTGAATTGAATCAGTTCGATTTTAGGTCTGTTCGAATTTGAAAACGTTCGAATTCGTCGTACCCCCGTCCTTTCGAAGTTAAAGTCGGATTCAGGGATCCTTTAAATATGTACACTGATTTATCCGCTCGAGGTGCAAATCGGAGTTTTTGTCATGCGGCTTAATACAGTACTCTTTCATGATACTTTCACGAACTTTCTTTCTTGAAATTTCAATACAGTATTTACGCTTGTTGAAGCTTTGATTCCCGAAAAGTAAGAAAACATTGATTTAGTACGAAAACTTCATGAAATCGGGAGTGGGAATAGAGAAAATCTGCAATACGTCGTATCTGTTTATAAACATGTTCAGGAGAAAACTAGGTGACAGTTGCGCTTTGCCGATTTCGGTCGCAAAAGATCTTCACAGATGAAAACCAAGAAAAAAGCGTAGAAGAGTTTTATCATCTCCGAAAAAGTTCGAAATTTCAATTTGAAAAAAAGCAGTGGAATAGAAAATGCATGCGAAACATAAATTTATTTCAAGCAAATCGATGCATGTAGAGCCACTGGTTTGTGTGGTCCAACGAATTTCTCTTCAGCAACCAGACCGTAATACAAACCGGAAGCACAGAACGAATCCTGAAAAATGTTAAAGGGGGACTCCGACCAAAAATTTTTATTGCCTTAAAATGTTTCAAAAAATATGTATTTTCCTAATATTATTGAGAAAAAATTCAAAAAAAAAATCTTAAATCCCCAAAAAACGGCGTTGAAAAAAAAGATTTAGATTCCCGCGCAGTGAGAAACCTAGGCCACGGCATCATAGCGCCTTTCTTACATCGAAAATTTTCCGGTTTTTTTCGGTTTTCATGTCCGGCAGGTAAAAAACGTAAAAAACCACTGTCGGGCACTTGAAAAAACGGCTGTCAGGCGCCGTGGCCTAGGTTTCTCACTGCGCGGGAATTCAAATCCTCGTCCCTCCTAGCAACTTTTTTTTGAAACATTTTCGCTTTTAACGGCATTTTTCGGGGATTTCGGGTTTTTTTCGAATTTTTTCGCTATAATATTGGGAAAATAGACAACTTTTCGAACATTTTGATGCAATAAACATTTTTGGTCGGAGTCCCTTTAAATTTAGAGATTCAAGAAAATCAACTTACATGTCTGAAAAGATCGTTCATCTTGTCATTGTACAAAATTCTATCACTCCACGCGGGACACAGAGTTCTCTGGAACTCTTCCTTTCCTTTCTCGTTGAGCTCATAGTGACGAGATGGCTGGAACAATAGACTTACTTGAAGATACTTTATAACAAAAATCTCACTTGGAAGAAGCACGTCTCCTCTTTCAGATTTCCTTTAATGCGACATCAGCCAACTCTCCGTTATATCTCTTCACCATTTGGCCTCTTCCCAAACGGAAGAACCAATCGTGGATCGAATGAAGATCGAATCGAGTTCTCTCCACAGTTGTTGTTCTTCTTCCATGACGATCCACATGTTCAATTGATTCCACATTTCCATCTTCGTCTTTCTTAGCGACAGTTTGTACCAACTGAGTCTTGGCAAGATAGTTGAGTAGATCAGTCTCATGAAGCTGAGAATTGAAAGACCCAGCGACTAGGATAGCATCGTTACGAAGACCTTCGTCATCCAATCTGTTTTGAAAAAAAACGGGTTTCCAAACTTGATAATTTGGGACTTACTCTTTCAAAAGCATCTCGATTTGATCTTCTCTTTTAGCTGCGGCTTTTGTGAGTGAGGCATTCTTTGTGGCAATCTCATTCACATCTTCGAAAGGAACAGAATGAAGATTCAGATTCACAAACGTCACTTCTTTTCCGTGGATGCGGAAGCGAGCAAGCAAAAATCCAGTTCGCTGGTTAGCCAAGTCTCGAGTTCCATCGTCATTCTAAAGTTACAAAATCGATTTTGCATCGAAGTCAAAAAAAAACTTACATAGAAATCTTTTCTGAAAGTGTAACTTTGTCCAAATGTGTTCTGAATAAATCCGTCACACTCCTTCACACCTGAAAATTTAATATTTTTGGAAGTGGATCAAAATAGGACACTTGCCAATGGAATGTTGATGTCCAGTGCGGAGGTTTATATATCCAGTTGAAGAGAATCTATTATAGTACTGAACATCTGAATGGTTCTTGAATAGGTATAAATTTCCGAGACCCTGAAAACCAAATTGAAAAACAGAATTTCTTTTTTTCAAAACTCACAGTTAACTTTGTATCAAAGAAGGCGAAAGAACTGTCAAAAGCACGATAGATTTCTGGATTGTCAGTGATGCTGAAATCACGTAACGTTAAAAACTCCACTGAATCCTTCTTACCATCCACAAATGACTCTTGCAGCGTAATCTGGATTCTCTGCCGAATGAAGTCCTTGTACGTGGACAACAGCAAACTCGCATTTTTGCTCATAGATTTCTTTGGCAACTTCAGAACACCAGGCTCGGATCAGATCATCGTCAGTGCCAATTCTAGAGATATCTCCAGTGATAGCCACTTGTTTAATATATTCAGGCATTCTGAAAAACTCAATATGAAAAGGATAAAAGTTAGAAGGCAATGAAAGAGTATTTGGTTCAATTTAGGACTCGTTATATAGTCAGTTCCTGAAACCACGCCCAGAACCGTTCAAAATGGTAAACCGAATACATCCGACCTTTTTTTGCAGAAATTGTCTCTTGTTCTGGGAAAACTCAAAAGTTTTCAATTTTCAATTTAAAACCTCGAGAAAAACCAGTATTTTCCTTTTATGAGACGATGAAATGTGAGAGTTGGAAACTAATAGAAACCCCAATAATGGGAACTTTCAGGGTGTGGTTGGGGATCGGACGGTTGAGAAGGAATTGGGAGATAAAAGGTTCGGAAGTTTAAAAATGCCTATTTCAAATCATCGGGTGACTTTTCTAGCAATGGAGAAAATAACTTTTCAGAAAAAACCGTTTCGAATGAATCTCAATGACGCTTTATATCATATAAAATGTTCTTGAGAGTCTTAAGAACAGAGTAAACTATAAAAGATGCAGAACACTGAAAAAAAACAGAACAAGACAGAGAGAATTGGTGGTTTTGAATGGGGGTAACCCGATGACTGTATGTCTCCGTGTCTATTTACAAAAGACACTTTTTTCTTCAGTTTTTCTTCTTTTTTATTCTCTATCTCTAATTCTACGAACATTGCGCGGGCGGGTAGAAAAAGGAAGGAAGACGGAAACGCCCAATCTCTGATTGTCGTATTCTCATAAACTATTTCCCAATTACCGTTCTTATATGTTTCGTAATCTCTTTGCCTCTGAGGTCCTCTGTGATATTGTCATGTCTATTAAAACTTTACCATGAGAAGAAGAAAAAAAGAAAGAGAAGGAGATGATGACAAATTTGGAAGGAGACGTTATAAAAATGATTCCCCAGAAGACTACTACCACACCCAGAAATATGAGCGAAGCAAGAAAAATACAACTTTGAACATCTAATCGTTTTGGTCAGTGACATTGAAGGCCATCTGGGAATCCGGAATTTTTTAACTGCATAAATTATTGGAATAAAGAAACGATTCCCAAACGCACTCAGGACCCCTAGCTTTGGCCAATTCCATCTTGTTTCCTATAAGAGATATGAAAATTTTATCAACTGATAAACTGTTGTTCATATTATGATGAACGTTTTGTTAATTGATTAGTTTTTGATATCTTTCCCAGGAACAGATATAAATTAACTCAAAGTTGAATGTAAACCCTCTAAATGAAGATCAACCTATACTTGCACTTTGAGCTCAACCATCTCGGTTCCTATGAGAGGTAACAAAAATTTGTGAACCGATAAAATGTTGGCGATATTATGGGAAACATTTTATCAGTTGACAGATTTTTGATTTCTCTCATAAAAACCGAGATAATCGAGCTCAAAGTGCAAGTATAGGGTGCCTTTCTATTAGAGTGTTTACGATATATCATTACTCACAATTTGAACTAAAGTTTATATTTATAGACACATTTTGAAATTCTCTACTCTAATTCTACTCTTCTATTTCCATCAAAATTGAAACCAGTCCGATTATCTTCTCCTACATTCAATTCAACAAAAACATGAAAAAAAACTACAAAATTTCGAAAATAAGTGCAAGACAAAAGGAAACCAATCATCGAATAGTTAACTGTCTCTTTTTAAAAAAAGCTAAAATCTGTGGGAGTAGTTGTGTGTGTATTTTAGTAATGTTTACAAATGTGATTAAAATTGGGAGAATCTCCCGAGAATTTCTCAACTTTTGACTCCTCCATGATGTCCTATTTTTCTTTGTCAAATAATTTAGTGCTCTTGGGAAAATATGTGATGAGGAAAGTTTGAAAAAATAGATGTTGGATGATAGTAATTCAAGATTTGAAGGGCTGAAGAAATACTAATTGTGTTACAAAACTTTCAAACCTCCAAACCCTGTAATTTCACATTGACCATAAAACCTGTAACAGAAGGGCCCATAATTTTAACTTTCAGCCATGTTATCTCGGCTCCACTCAAAGATATAAAAAAGTTGTCAACCCATAAAATGTTGATATTAATATCAGATGTGTTTTGATAGTTGACACATCTTCAATATCTTGCATAGGAATTTAGATAATTGAGCCCAATTTGACAGAGTGTCCCTTCTATTACAGGTTTTACGATATGTTCCTGTCTACCTTGTCATGTCAAATGCCATATAAAATGCGTATTGGGATGCACTCACCGTTTGGCCCACCATCACCTGTGGCCTGGAAATATAAAGGTCTGAAGACGTGCTCGTCCTGATACAGTACCTCTGCGGACCGCGGTTTTGCGCGGCAACGATGATTCGAATCTCCCTCTCCTCCTCGTTTCCTACATTCCGTTGCCTACCTATTGATTGCTCATCCAATCGAAAACCGAAAGAAAAATGGAAAATACTTCTAGCCTCGCTAAAGTCATTGAAATGTGCTTTCCCGAGTGCCAGGAATCATCCATTTACTACCCCATTCTTATGTCTCTACTGCAGAAAAAGAGCAAAATGGGGCCAGGACCATTGCTGGCAATCACATCCAAACATTTCATGGATGCAGCATTGGAAGATCCTGTTATTGAGGAGCAGGTTGCAGAACTTCTCCATCGTGGTAAGTTATAATGTTTTCTCAACTTCAACAATCTTTTCTTCTTTCAGAGACGTTCGAATTCGAATGCCTTTACGTATTCGGGGAGCATCGGCGATTGTTCAACATCGCCTTCAGTAGCAACTTCCCGTTGCCTACTGAAACTTTTTCAATTGAAATAAGAATCACAAAGTGTCTCTTATACGTTGAAGGAGTTTTAGTGGCATCGATGAAGCTGTCTATTGATGATAGCGAGGCGTTGTTCTACGCCAAGACAGCGATACAGAACGGATTCGAAAAGTTTCGACTGTTCGTGAGAGGTAAGTTTTTATTAATTCTATATCTAGATTCATAATTCTTATTTCCAGGTCATCCCATGAAAGGAGAGTTCCGAGAGGAAATTCTGTACGATTTCCGCAGAAAACTCGGACAAGCGGCATCACCGACGCCGGGACACTTCTCGAGGGACGCGTACGGATGCACAGAGATGCCCCTCGGGAAGGATGGAGGACTCCAGATGGTTTTTACAAGGAATCCCGGTGCAACGAGGGATTAATTCGAGATCTCGGTAGATAAGATAAATAGTTTTTTTTGTAATTTGTTTGCCATATACTGTTATCGGTTTAATTGTTTGATCATTTATTTCGTTGTGTTGTGATATTTATTTGTTAAAAAATTCTGGGTTTTTCCTAAAGTTTGCTCCATCAATTCTAATATACAAATTTCTTTTTTTTGGTCTACATGTTTTCCAACCCAAAAATACTATTGATAATGCCAAAAACATTACAAGAAGACTAAACAAAAAATTATGCGATTCTTCGAATTCCTCATTGATCGGTAAAGACTTCATATTTCGAGTTTTTGAAGTGTTCCTCTGCTTCTCCTTGGACACGGCTTGGTCGTATTCATTCATGTCTTTCAGCCAGTAATCCATAAACTTCTTCTCAAACCCAGTTTTCATTTGGGGTCTCAATCCAGTTTTCTCATCCCAATTCACGTCAAAATAGCTCGAGGTTTTCAAATCGGTCATCTCAAAACCTAATCCCGGATTTCCATACTTTGCAAAATTCATAAACATGTCTCTATACACTTCCTTCAAATGAATCTCGTTTTCATCTTCTTCAAATGGATGTAAGCCCATCAAATAGTAAAGATCACCAACGTGTAGAGAGTGTTTTGGGTAACTGAATTCGTAGAGATACGTCTGAAAGTTTTAGGAAGCGAGTTGCCTTTACTTTTTCGTTTATTTACCGGAATATATTTCTCCAGGAGCTTATTAATTCTGAGTTTAGTTGAGACCATCATTGTGATAGTTTCGTCCGAATGATTGTTGCGTTCTAAAAACAAATATTCAGTAAATACATCTTTATACAATAGGCATACCAAAAATTCCATTTTTCAAATCTCGTCTATACTTTGCTTCACACTCGTCTGGATTCTCAAAACCTATCAGTTCTGCTACTGGAACAGCGAACTGCTCATCATCCATCTCGAATGCAGTACATCCCGTTAGCATGGGAATCATTTTCGGAGAATCCATGAACTCAGAAAACTTTCCCTTTTCGAACATAGGCTCTCTTTGAACGGTTCCTTCATACAAAGGATATCCTTGCTCTTCCAGAAATCGTTGTATTCTGAAAACAATTTGTTTGACTGGATATTTTTAAACTAGGTCACCTCAATAATTCTTGTCCACTTTTCTTCTGTAAACAGTTCATCGTGAATCTATCCTGTTTACTTCTTGACATTTTTTCTGACATTCCAACAGGAACCAAGCAATTCGCATGTTCAGCAAAAGTCCTGGTTCTATTTATCATTAACTCCAACTCCAAAAAGTTTTGCTGTGCTGACATCACAATTGTCTTTTGGAATAAACTGGAAAAGTTTGACTGAAACAGGAAAAGTGTAATTTTGAATACAACCTCAAATCCTGATTGATTCTTTGACTAAAGTTCATCATGGTAACTATTGCACCGCCATACGAGTGTCCGAAGAGAGTCACTTTCTTACTGTTCCCTCCGAAATTTCGAATTTCAGACTTTACAAAATGGAGAGACTTCAGAATATCTAAATCTCAATATTCAGATTTTACAGAAGCAGTTGCAGCTAACCATAAAATGCCAAATTCGTTGGCGCAATACTTTGGTCTGCAACTATAAAATGCGAAAATATTCCGAGTCGAAACGCTGGTATAACAAGAATAACATCTGAAAAGGGTTACTTTCTTTGAAATGGAAAAAAAAAACTTGTTATTACCATTTGAGACGAATGATTCCATAAGAAAAGTTTCATTGAACATAACAGCAGAGTTGTATAGAATGTCACCACCGTGTATGTAGACGACGACAGCGCAATCTTTGGATTTCTAAAGTTTCCTGAATTTTTGTAGAAAACATTGGAAATCTAACCAAACATTTATTGGAAGTGAATATATTCATATGGAGGCAATCTTCATCTATCCATTTTTGAGGGCTTTTTGATACAGTTGAATTCGACATGCATGCAGGTCCAAATTCTGAATACCTACCGTAAAAATAGTAATATAAGGGCTCCCTACGAGTTTACTTTGAGTCAATTTATATATTATAAGTCCCTAACAAAGATGTTGAAAAGTAGTCAATTGACAAATTGTTCATCATAATATCATCAACATTTTATCAGCTGATACATTCTTGATATCTTGCATAGCAGCCAAGCGAAATAGACTCAAACTTGACGTTGTGGGGGCCCTTCTATTACAGGTATCTATTACAAAATATTTTGAAAAAAATTTCACCTGTTGCATTTCTGACTTTTGTCCATTTCTCGGGATTTTCTGGTCTCTGAAATCTCAATTTTCCAATTGGAGGTTTCGCATATGGAACATGTTTGAATGAATGGTATCCTTCAATCTGTTTTCCATTCAGTTTTCCGTATGAGGTGGTTACAATAATAGATGTTGAAACTTGGAGGAAGGACAGAGAAAATACGATTTTTAGAAATTCAAACAACATGATTATACTTTCAAATTGTTCACAGAAAGTCGATGATAACTGATAAACATTTTACAGATAACATGTACAAAATGTAAAAGAGGGAAGGTAGATAAAAACACAAAATGGGAAGCAGAAATATATTTTTTAAAAAACAACTCATTTTTTGGAAAATGAATAATTTAATAAACAATTATATTTGGGTCAGTATCTTTGAAATCATTAAAATTGCCTCCTTCAATTAGGATATACTTACTTCTGTTTGTACAATGTTTTTGGAATAAACAAAGTAGTAAAAATGCTAAAGAAAAAGTTAAAATCATAAAGAAAAAATACAGGGATCGATCCGCAACCGCAGAATTTACTTCGAACGTAGAGAAACCTAGATTCCGAGTCTTCGACGATTTTCTTCGTTTTTCATCGCTGATTTTTCTATCGTACTCCCTCATATCCTTCAACCAATAATCCATTATCTGAAAAGAAACCTACTCAAAAGTTCTCGAAAGCTAGTATACATTTTTTTCAAAGTCCGTATTCATATGTGGGCGTACCCCACTCGTTTCATTCCAATTCACTTCGAAGTAACTTGAATTCTTTGGATTGGAGGCTTCGAATCCCATACCAGGATTCCCAAATTTTGCAAAATCAGTAACCATGGTCTGATAGACTTTCTCCAAATGTTTTTCATTTTCATCCTTTTCGAATGGATGTAATCCTAGAATGTAGTAAAGGTCGTTAACATGGAATGAGTGTTTTGGGTACTTGAATTCGTAGAGATAGGTCTGAAAATTATAAATTCCTGGTATCTAGTAATTCAAAATACCGGATTTCCTTTTTCCAAGAATCTATCAACTCGAAGTTTGGTTGAGACCATAATCCCAACAGTTTCATCCGTATGATTATCGCGACCTGGAATATTTTAAAGATGTTCAGGATTCATTATTCTCTTACCAAATATTCCGCTTTCCACATCTTCTCGGTATTTCTCATCACACTCGTTGATATTTTCAACACCGGCTAAATGAGCCAAATCCCAATTGCCTGGTTTATTATCAAACTCATATCCCGTACATCCGGTTAATATTGGAGTTTTCACTGGAGAATCGAAAAAATCGGATGGTATTTTCCCCGGAAATAGAGGTTTGCGTAGAGCAACATTTCCATAGGGAGGATAGCCAGCTTCTTCCAGAAATCTTTGAATTCTGAATAGGGACAAATAAAGTAGTGAAGAATTAAGAATTTCAACTGCACCTCAATAGTTCGAATCCACTCTTTCCTTGTAAGCATTTCATTGTATAGACATCTTCTTGGTCCCGAGTCATATTAACTGGAGCCGAGCAATTCGCATATTCCGCAAAACGTTTGGTTTTCTCAATTTGAAAAGCCAAGGTATCGAATTCTTCTTGTGAGGACATCACTATGATTTGTTGGAATAAACTGGAATATACATCGGGACTTCAAGAATTCAGTTTAAATTCAGTTCCGTTTACCTTAAATCCTGATTTACTACCGGACTGAATGCTAACATAGTTATCATCGATCCTCCATAAGAGTGTCCGAAAAGTGAAATATTTTTGTTGCTTCCTCCAAAATTGTTAATCTCGAACCTCACAAATTCCAGTGATTGAAGAATATCTAAACTTCGAATTAATTATTTTCTCTCTTTTGCGGGCTTTACCATAGAACGCCAAATTTGTTGGGGAAATAACTTGATTCTCGACAACATAATGAGAGAAGATGCCAAGACGAAAAGCTGGGATTACCAAGATTACATCTGGAATGCCATTCATTTATTAACAGATTCCAAATTAGTAGAACCTTTTTCCACAAATGAGTTGAGCAAGTAAGTATCATTGAATGCCACTGCAGAACCGTACAGAATATCTCCTCCATGGATGCAAACAACCACAGCACAATCTTTGGACCTCTATGCATGTAATCATTGTTTTTCATTAATAATTGCAGCTCACCAAACATTTACTGGAAGTGAAGACATTCACATGAAGACAATCTTCATCTACCCATTTTTGAGGGCTTTTTGAAACTGTCGAATTCGACATACACGCTGGTCCATATTCTAGAAAATTTCTTTTTGACAAAACAATTCAATAAAGAATCTCACCTGTCGCATCCCAAATTCCGTCCCATTTCTCAACAGCCTCCGGTTTCTGGAATCTCAATTCTCCAAGTGGTGGTTTGGCAAATGGAATTTTTTTGAACAAGTGATAATCTCCAACTTCTTTTCCCTTCAATTTACCGGAAGAAGTGGAAATTATTATAGATGCAGAATATCGTATTAAAGTCAGGAAGAATATAATCTGACACAAATAGATTTCCATGTCTAACCTATATTTGATTCATCATTGACGTGGCATGTATAATAAACTGATAAGACAGATAGGTCAACGAGAAAGTCCACAAGAACTGTTATGTGTGTTTTGCTATCAACACGAAAAACGACCTGGTACACAATTCTAATGGTGTTATTCATGAATATCAAAAAAAGCCACACAGGCAAAGCGATAGATGGCAAATGAAGAGGCGCGGGCGGGCCGCTGACGGCTTGTCGGCGTCCATTTTGATAGAAAAGAACAACGATGAAGAGCTTCATATCGTATTTGCTCTAAAGAAAATAACCATATGCTGGCACTGTGAGCTAAATTATCTTGGTTTCTGCAAGAGATACAAACAATTTGGGGTGAATTCAAATACACCCCCACCAATTCAAATATAGACCCCCATCTTTGCGTGGTTTGTGGTGTGCGCACCAACCAATTCAAATATAGCCCCCCCCCCCCCCCACTTTTGCGTGGTTTGTGGTGTACGAAGGGTACCGTACCTTTCATGATGCAAATTTTGAGCAACTCATTTTCATTTTTTTTTTCTTTTTTTTTCTGGGATTTGTCCTATTTTTACCATGTTTTGTTGTTTTTAGAAAACGAACTTCAATATGAAGTTTTCTGACTTAAAATCCCTATCGGATGTGATGACGGCTCTTCCCGATGAAAAGTCGGCTGCGAATCTTCTGTTCAATGAAGGGTTGATTAAGAACAACGTCAACTGCTCAAAATGCGGAAATCCAATGCAGTTAAGAAGTCGAGCAAATGGATATGAAGTGAGCCCGTCTCAAAAAGAAATTAATTGGTTTATTTTGATTTTTAGTGGAGGTGCAGAAGTTCCAAGAGCAAAGATTGCTCCAGTGAAAGTATTCGTCACGGATCATTCTTCGCGAGAACCAAATTGACGCTCTTACAGGCAATAAAAGTTATTGTTCTTTGGAAACAAAAAAACTCTGCAAAGCAGATTTCGAAAGAAGTTGGAATATCAGAACAGACTGTTTGTGATTGGCGAAACTTCTTGAGAGAAATTTGCACTTCGATCGAGCTCTCGTATGGAAAGCTTGGGGGTAATAAGAATATTGTGGAGATCGATGAAACCAACCTACATTCGAAAAAATATGGAATCGGGAAAGGGTCACCAGATGACTGGGCCCTGGAGGTAACCATGTTCCTTTCAATTTTAAATCATAATTGAATTTAGGTATCGATCGTACCACTGGAAGAGTAGCAAAAATTCTTGTCCCACTACTGCAAGCATCCGTCGATAAAAACTCGATCGTCTACAGCGATGAGAGGAAGAGTTACTCGCAATTAAAGCACTACTTCAGCGAACATTGCACTGTTTGCCACAAAATACAGTTTGTCAAGTAAGTTTTTGCTTGAAATGTGTGCAGTACCAATTCATTTTAGTATCGTTGGATCGCGTCGCGTGTGCACCAATGGCGTAGAAGCCATGGGGAGCCGGCTAAAAGCACCGTTCAAATCCGGGAAGGGGACAAGGCAAACACTCTTGGACAGCTACATATCTGAGTTTTTTGTTCGTGAGAACGAAAAGGACGACTTTTTCAGCAAGGTTTTGGACGAGATGAAATCTAAAGTTATTTAATCCACTTTTCTGCATTTGTTCTCATGTTTCTGTTCTGATGTTTCTGTTCTGATGTTTGGATCTCTATTAAAGTTTTTGTTTTTTGAGCCAATAAAGTTATTTTTCAAGTTTTTGATTTGTTTATAGAAATTTGTGTCACTTTTCAATCATATCATATCTAATAAGAACTATCAAAATTGAAACATTCTAAAATTCAGGCTTAGGCCAAAAAAATGGTGGGGAGCTATTTTTGAATTGGTGGGGTCTAAAATTGAATGGGTGGGGGTCTATTTTTGAATAGGTGGGGATCATATTTGAATAAAGTGGGGGGGGGGGGCTCAGATAAGGTTCCCG